TGGACCTGTGTTTGCTAGTCCTCTTAATTTTGATATTATTTGCTTTATTTTATAACTGCCATTTCAGGCAAGCTATTCCATTTTAGATAGCACTAAAATCAATAGAAACTTTTCCTTCTGTTGATTTTAAGCCAGGCACTAGTAGGTGATAAAGAAGAGAGATTTTGGAAATTTTTGATCAGCTTGAAAATTATTTTAAGAGTCCAAAGATAATAAAGACCTAAACTGGTCCCATAAGTGCTTAGAAATAGAGAAGAGACAAGTAAAAGAGGAATCATGCAGGAAACCTAATTGGGCTTGAGAACCGATTAGACATGAGGGGCGAAGGCACCCGAAGTCAATAGGAATAGGAGCAGATTTGGAGAAGAATATGAGTAGATTTTAAGGTAGTTAGGAAATTCACAGAGGATTAAATCATTAGATTTGATCAAAAGGTTTTATTAACAGATCAGACACCAGATTACAAAGAGATTTAGGCATCATGAGTCATGAGAAAGTGGGATAAGGTAGATTACTTTGAAGAAATTTTGTGTTGGTGCCACCTGGGTGGCTCAGTCAGTTAAGCATCTGCCTTCAGCTTAGGTCATGATCCCAGGGTCCTGGATTTAAGCCCCGCATCGGGCTCCCTGCTCAGCTGGGAGTCTGCTCCTCCCTCTGCCTCTGCCCCTCTTCCTTGCTTGTGCATGCTCACGAGTGCTCTTTCTCAAATAAATCTTTAAAAAAAGAAATTCTGTGTTAAAAGATAGCAGGGATAAAAAGGGAATATTCATTTTATTTTTTTTAGAATGAAAAATATTTAAACAGTTATTCAACTCAGAGAGTGAGTGAATGGAATAAGGAAATGGTATAAAATTACCTAGATGCTATGTGTTGGTAGAAGGGAGAACCCTGGAATCGGGGGGGGGGGCAGGGATGGCATGATAAGGAGAGACACTTTGAGAAGAACGGAGTGAGGACAGAATTTCTATCAGCAGCCACCAGTCTCCACAAGGCAAGAAGCAAAAATATTGACAAAGGAGGTGTCAGGAAGTGTCCTTTGATATGAAGAGAGCAAACCATGTGTGGAATAGATGTTTTAGGAAATATAATGGTAGCTAATTACATAGAAACAAAAACATTGCCGAAAAAAGCATAGAAAGCCCAAATGATAGCCAACCACATGCATCAAGCCAGGCTGGTTTGTGAAAGGACTAAATTCATCTTGATATTACTCAATTTCTGCTCTTGGTAATTTATTGCCAGTTATCTCATAAATTTTGTTTATGGGGTTTCTATCCTGTGTTCTGCCTCTGTGTTTTATTGGAATAAAATGTCTAATATGCAGCTACAGTCATCTTTTAGGAACAGAAAGGATCTCAAAGACTGTCTAGTCCACCCCCGTTCTCTTTTGAGAGAGAAAAGTGATGAGTAAGTGGGCAAAGACTCCCATGAAAGCAGGCTACTAGTTTGCAGCTGACAAATATCCAAGCCAAGCCACTACCTGCCTTCTCCACATTTTGAGGAGCTAAGGATTTTGTTTAAGCTACAATAACCATTATTGTCAATATTCATACTATTAGGGATACGTAAGCAGAGATAATGGTATTTGAACCAAACACTACCTTCAATAGCTCCTTACCACTTAGGACACGAGATGTTGGCTTGTTCTTAAACTCCAAGTTGCTAGAGGCAGGCTTTCCAGAGGTCTGATCTGATGACCTTCACTGACTGCTACCTGTATCTTTACTAGACTTGTTCCACTTGTGTCCAAATTTAATCATCCACAGAAAAGGGTGCAATCAACATTTGATCCTGAGTAAACTCAGACAATAATGGGAAGTCTGTGACTCTATGTGATGGTAAATATACAATGAAATAATAAACCGTATGTAATGTTAAAAGGAATTAGAATTGCCCTCTTCCCTTCGAGGTCATTTTACCTGTCTTTTTTCATCTCCTTTTGCTAAGCACCATAGTAGAAAGACAGTCCAGTGCAATGCTGAAGCTATTAGCTTAGGAGTCAGAAAACAGCCATTTGCCTGGCTCTGTCACTGATTATCAGAACCTAGACGCTTATCGTCTCTCATTTTCTTCTATAATAATTCTTGTTCTCTTCAGAGTTTATTGTATGAATAAACTGAAACACACTTTAAAATCTTAAGCCTTCTGCAAATGTTCAATGTAGACATTTATTGTATTTTCCTTCAGTTTGCATTGATTCTATAGGAATGTTGAGTTTGGTAAGTGAAACCTTACACAATGACACACTGAAAAAGATCATTGTAAACTTGATTGCTGAGATCAGTGTTTTTTTGGTGATGGAGCTATTGTCCATTTAGAGTAATTATATTCTAATTTTAGAATGACCCCATGAGCACCCAAGTATCCGTTTTATTCATTCCACAGATATTTATGGAATACCTTCTGTGTGCTAGGTTTCAGCTTTGCTTATTATCATAAGGCCTAAATCTAGCTTTAAAATCAAGGAAATGTGACTTATTACTTTACGCCAAATAGACTTATTGACTCTTTTAACACTTAGAACTTGCCTATATTATACAGTTATCAATTAAGCCACTGTTGACAAGGATAACCTCTCTGAAGCAGAAAAGTTAGCTGCCTGTACGTTTATTTTTCCTGACAAACTTGTATCAGAGAGGGTATTTCAAATGCTTTGTGATCAAGATTAAAAAAAAAAAAATTGCAAGATGGATTTTTTTTTTAACATGTGGGTAAGTTCGTAGAGCATTTTATACCATTTCATTCCTAGAAAGATGATATAAAATCAAGCTTATGTGTAACCCTGGAATCTGGCCTTTGGTCATTATGTTAGCAGCGCCGCGCCCCGCCCCCCCCATCATATGAGGAATTGAGACATGTAGCCAAAGGAGAGCTGTCTAATTGTGGTAGCCCATCTGGTCTGATTTTAGCTTCTCTGCACTTCTCTGACATTGTGTGGTATCCAAGGCAAGGAAAAAACAATAAAAATTCCATGCAGCATACTTGTCAATAAATGTTTCATAGATTTCTGCTGATGTTTCAACTCACAAGACACAGAGGATTACTATTCTATACTGTTCGTTCCCAGTAGCAGTTAATATTTTGGCTGAACAGCCTCCTTCACTCATTCTGGCTTTTGCTCCTTTGAAATCGGAGACTGGAGCCCTGACAGTAGTTTTACTAGAAAGAGGGAAGTATATCAGTAGCTTGTAACTAGTAGGAAAATAGTCCGAATATACAAATACATTCAAGATACAAATATACAGAAACATAGAAAATCATCCCCTCTCTGTATTTGTTAAACAGTACCCCCCCCACCCGCTGACTTCACAAGCATTCGATGTGTGCATTTGCACAGGGTCCCCTACTTTGAAGGGCCCATGCTTGGTTTAATGCTCTACTGTCTTTGTCTTGAAATTCTTAATCATTTTTTAATAAGGGGTCCCATGTTTTCATTTTGGAATGAGCCTCATAAATCGTGTAGCCAGTCCTGGCCCTCTTTTCCAGAGACTCTGGGTAGTTGTGTTTCTGTAGCATCAACAACTTGTGCCTGGCACTTAGAGAAGGCAGTTAAATGTTTTTAGCATGAGTATATGAGTGACTTTATAAGGCTTTAAATAAAAGCAACTAGCCTGAATCTTAGCCCATTAAATTATGCTAGGGTGGGGAGTGGGAGAGAGGTACTAAATATTTTGGAGAAAATTTAAAATAGAAGAACTGAAAATAATACAACAAATACCTATGTGTCTATCATCATACCCGACAGGTATTATTTCATTTACTGAAAATGTTTATTTACAAATAAAAAGCAGATGAAATTTACCTGTTGGCTCCACCTCTAATCTCGTTTATCTCACTGGGAACTAAAGTTCCAACACAAATATTAGATCCTTAGGGTATTTGTTATCCTTTTACACTGCCAGCAATAATATATGGTGATGTAGTTTTTTTGTGAGCGTTTCAGTACTTATGTAAATCATATGAGACAATATGTTTTATCTTGTAATTTGCTATTTTCATTCAATATTTTGCTTGTAAAATCTGTTCACACTGATACAAGTAGCTCTAGCTCATTCATTCTTGTTACCGTATACAGTACTAGTGAAATCCCCATCCTGATCTGCTGTCCCACTTAGTGAGGCTGTTTAGAGCATTGTCAAGAGGAGTCTTTGTATTCTGGTTCTGCCACTGGTTAAAGTGACTAGGTGGGTAACAATGGGCAAATTAAGTGATCTTTCTGAATCTCTATTTTCACATTTATAAAATGGGATTAGTAACTTCTACCACTTAAGGCGACTCTAGGACAATGAAATGAGATAATGTATATAAAACCTTGCATGTGATACAAGCGCAAAAAAAGGGATGAGGTTTATCATTACTTTACCATACATATGGCTGAATATTACAAAGCCCTAGGCATATACATAACCATGATCTTAAATTTGCATTGCTTCATTTTTTCTCATTGTACCCTTAGCTTGGCTTTGGTCTTGATTCTATTTTTATAATGATAAGAAAATGTTACCCTTAGAATGCAGTCCTCGATACAACTTAGAGTTTCAGGTCCCCCTTTTACAAAACTGAACCATACTACCTTGGTGGACCTTCCGTGGAATAAACCCATGCAGTTCCAGGCTTAAGCCCATCCAGCTATAAAACTACAATATGATGCACTTACAAAATTACGTCTATGCTCTGCTCTATGCATAATTGGAAAAAAATGAACATCCAGCATTTTCCAACTTTCCTTTTGCAAAGTAGCGAATAATAGAACTGAGAGGTCTGGATTCTGTCTGTAAGTGCACTGCTGCGTGCTCTCCAGCTTGGAATTAGAAATTAAAGTAAGTACACACTGAGCTATTTTTTTCATGTTCTCTACAATTTCTAAAAAAATAAAACCAGAAGCCAGTATTAAACACAGTCTTTGAAGTATATGGGAGTCTGTGGTGTATTAAGAAACTTGAAATAGCCTTCTGAACCTCCCTGTGAATTTCAAGTTTCGTATTTTGGTTATTCAACAGATACTATACAATTCGCTATAGAGAAAAGGATAAGGAAAAGAAATGGGTTTTTCAACTCTGTCCGGCCACTGAGACAATTGTGGAAAATCTAAAACCCAACACAGTTTATGAATTCGGAGTGAAAGACAATGGAGAAGGTGGAATTTGGAGTAAGATTTTCAATCACAAGACTGTTGTTGGCAGTAAGTACCTGGAACTCCTTCAGTGAGCTTTCTGTAATTCTTACTTTTTTTCCTAAGTACCGAATTTTTAATTATTTAATTCTTAAATATGAGATGAGTTAATTCCCATCCTCTAATACTTAAAAAAAAAAATACAAAAGTGAACAGAATTTGAGTATTGGTATTTCAGAACCCTTTATATTAATGCATGGTTTTTCAAACAAACAAACAAAAATAAGCTGATGTTTGATGCCTCCATTGATAACAGTTCTTTGGCCATTGTAGTATTTTAAATCAATCTCAGATCTATGAGCACCAACTGAGTGAAAACAGCAGTAATGTGTGCAGGTGTTTGGAATTGAAAGCTGGCCCAGTAAAAGTGAACATAAAAAGACTTCAGGGGGCCCTGAGCTGTCTTCCTGTTATCCCTTCATTCAAACTTCATTGGAATCAGTGTTTGAAATGATAGCAAACAAATAAGATGATTAACAGTGCCAGAGTTAGAACAGGAGTTACAGTTCTTCATAATGAGTAGGAAGAATTAATTTAGGAACACAAAGAATGAAAATAATGTTATTTTCTCCTTGTTTCTGTCAGGTAAAAAAGTAAATGGGAAAATCCAAAGCACCTATGACCAAGTCCACACAGTGGTAGGTACCAGGTTTTTCTCAGGAATGTTTTTTAGTAATTTTGTCTGCATTACGTTTTTGTTGTTGTTTTGTTTTGTTTTTATAAGGAAATCCGTCTGTTAGGAAGTGTTGAAATGGGATTAACTGGCTCTGGGGCTTTGTGTAAAGTACTTAATGCTTTAGGCATTTGCTATGTTTAGAGCTCTAAAGTACTGATAATCAATGTAGTTACTCAAGTATTTCCATATTTCAGGTGTCTTGAGGTTATGCTTATTATCTTTTCAGTGGATTGTTTTTTAGAATAACACATTTCCAGAGTGAATTTGGACATGCTCTGTTTTCATTGGTATTATTCATTTCTGACCTCGGTCGTCTTCCCTCTCTTCTCTCACTTCCTACTTAAAAAAGCCAACCTTTTCCAAAACAACGAAGCAACTGGCTTGGTTTTTTTTTTTTTTACTGTGCCTAGCCTCTCGAGTGCAGTAAATATCTGCACATCTTACGTGCCTGACAATCGCCCCCAACTAGACCTCTCCCCGCTTCTCTCTCACTACAGAAACTCAGTCCGTGGTTCTTTCTTTCCCTCCACTTGTCAAAATCTCTTCTCAGGAAGCCCCATCCCAGTTACGTACTACTTGTTATAAATGTAAGCCATTGTTATAACAACCACAGAGATATTTGCATCTTAAATCATATACCCAATTATAAAGTGAAGGCCATTATGTCCTGAGCAGGTAAAGGAGGCATCAACATTTTGAAAACTTCCTAATACATATGATCAAATTTCTTTCTAGAAAGGTTGTGCCACTTTACAATCTTGCTATCGATGTATCAGAGTTACCTTGCTATTATCAACCTTATTATTAGCCTGATTATCAACATTCTGTATTTCCATCACTAAATTTTCAGCTAATGTAATAGTGTAAAAGTTTTTAAATCTCTCTCCGATTTCTAAAATAGCAGTACTTTCTTCACTTGTTTATTAGCCATTTGTCTTTTCCATTTAATGACCTTTAGTTTTAGTTAACTTTAGTTCTTTATTGGGAGTCTTATGGGTTTTATTGAATAGTTCTAAAATTTAGTTCTTTATGGGGAATCTCATGGGTTTTATTAAATAGTTTAAAGACTATAGATTAAAGAATATCAACTCTTTGTGATATCATCGAGGAACATTATTCTCACATTTGTTACCAATTTTGTTTATGGGAATTTTTGAAATAGGCAAGTCTTAAAATTTGCTTAATCAAATTATTTGTCTTTTCCATTGTCATATTTTCAGTTGCATTCTATTTTAGAAAGCCCTTCCCTATCCAGAGAGCAAATATTTCCCTATTTTGCTTTTAGTTTTATAAGTGGTTTGATTTTGTGATAATTAAACTCTATATGAGTTTTATTTCACTATATTGCAGGTAGTAAGGTTATATATTGATTTGGTTCTGCATTTTTTTTTTTTTTTTTTTGCAAACAACCATTTGGCCTAGTACTAAAGTATTGAGTTGCGCCCTTCCTTATTAAGGTCCCTCTGGCTTTGTCTCTCTTAAATCCAATCACAGGGAATAGAGTTGCTCTTTATTTTTCTTCTAGAACAATCCCCACTCATGTTGTGAATGGTTACCTAGGAGCCGTATCTTCTCTCTCACCCTCTTGGCTGTCCTGCTGTGTTTTACATGTGACTCAATGATGTCATTTCTTTCATTCCTTTTTACCAGCAATCATATCCCAATAATGTCTTGTGGCAGAATATTTCATCTAGTGAGTTACTCAGCAAAATGGGGAAGGATGGTTGATGTTTACTCCCAAGGAATTTAATTTCTTTTTCATATCATAAATAGCCATGATGAGAAGGCCCAGGAAGAAACTTCCTGCATCTGTGACCCAGAGCCAGATATTTTATCACTTCAAGCTGTGAGGTGGAGTACCCCCAACTCCAGCCAGCTGTGACGAGCTGCGGTTTGAAACTCTTGGCTATTTCCAAAGGAAAACCCAAATTAACTGAAAAGCTATTTTAAGGCTTCTCTCTGAGACTTTCTCCATTGTCACCTTCTGGAAAGCCATCTGTGGTCTTAGGTAGCTCTGGAACACAGGAAAGTTGAAAAGGAATCACTTGGGATAGCCTTTGAGCATCTGACATGGCCACTTAGAATTGATTCTGAAAATATTTTAGAGGTATATTTTCATCCAAATAAAGTCAATATCAATCCAAATATTCAGACAGACATCTCTGAAACTGCTTTGAGAAGGCAATATTTTAAGAGTTATGAAATAAATTTACTTTTAGAGTTTTAAGCAAAAGATACATTGAGAAATGCTTTCATTCACCTGTACATGCTTACACCTAAAACTTATATGCGGCAAAAACTTAGCAGATGTTAAAGAAGCCGCATCTTACGCATCTGGTTACATTATATATGTAATTCATGTATCTAAGGACGTGTTGGGCTGGCAAGCCTGGGTGTGCAACGTATATCAGGGGTCTCTTCTGAGTGGTTGGTGCCTTTGTTCTACCACTTGTTAAATAGTTTCAGTATCACCCCTACCTGCCTACACCTCCAGAAAAATAGGGAAAAGGTGCATAAACCAAATGGTGATTCTTTCTATATAAATTGCGTTACTTGAGATCCATGATCTTGTGAAAGGAAAAACACATTTATCATAATTTTGCTCTTTTGTTCTTGTTGAGAATCTAGAACACTTTTTATGGAGGTGAAACCTAATGTTTACTATTAGGTTTTATTTTATATATATGATATAATAAAAATGGTAGAAGTGAATTCCCTTATATATATATATATATATATAAACTGATTCAATCAAGAACAGTGGCTGAAAGGACCTAATTTTAATACATGTGAAAGGACCTACTTTTAATACATTATGTCTATTTTTCTAAAAAAACTTAATTATCTTACTAGTTCACTAGCTAAACAATCATTTTTTAATGATTGTGTTTATTTATTTATTTGAGAGAGAGAGAGGAACGCACAAGCAGGGAGAGCAGCAGAGGGAAAGGGAGAAGCAGGCTCCCCGCTGAGCAGGGAGCCCAGTGTGGGGCTGAATCCCAGGACCCTGGGACCATGACCTGAGCCGAAGGCAGACACTTAACTGACTGAGCCACCCAGGTGCCCCTAAACAATCAATTTTTGAAGTACATAGCATTTAACAGAGATTTTAAAATATAAGTTTAATTATTTAATTCCAATCTCCTTAGAATAAGCATTCCCCTAATACATGGCATCTGTTTTCACCCTTCCATCTTTTTTATTTCCATCAGAGATCCACCCATCTTTTTAAAAGTATGTCTCTTATTGGCAAAAAGAGAAGTGGTGCCAATTTTTATTTTTTATTTTTATTTTTTTTAAAGATTTTATTTATTTATTTGAGAGAGAATGAGAGATAGAGAGCACAAGAGGGAAGAGGGTCAGAGGGAGAAGCAGACTCCCCGCTGAGCAGGGAGCCCTATGCGGGACTCGATCCCGGGACTCCAGGATCATGACCTGAGCCGAAGGCATTCGCTTAACCAACTGAGCCACCCAGGCGCCCTGGTGCCAATTTTGAAAGTGTAGCAGTTACCAGATGAGTGAGGTGAATAGGGAACAATGCCATGTGGTCCCCACCCATACCTTAAGATTGTGTACAATGAATATATCAGGTATCCTTCTGTTCTTAGCACTTGTTGTCTTAAACAGAAACTTGGAAAGTTTATATCTAGGCCAATAATATTATCAAAGGTGTATGTCTCACTCCTCCCTAAACGACCAGAAAAATGAAGAGTTTTGCAAGTAGGACACTGGATTAAATCAATATGTTTTATAACTTTCATTAGAACATCTTAAAAATGAATTAAAACCACAGTGTGACAGGCTCAAGTTCTTCTCATGTGGTTTGGCTCTTGAACCACTGAAGTCTGATTTTGAGCAACCCTTGCCACTCCCCAAATGGACAGCTTTTTTATCTCAGGACCTGAAAATAAAGTTAAATCTATAGTGAACATTCTGACACCACAAAAATACCAAATAGACAAGGCTGTAAGGAAGAGCCTACAAAAAGTAGTGTAAACACTACATGTATTTTTTTTAAAGATTTTATTTATTTAATTGACAGAGAGAGAGACAGCGAGAGAGGGAACACAAGCAGAGGGAGTGGGAGAGAGAGAAGCAGGCTTCCCGCCGAGCAGGGAGCCCAATGTGGGGCTCGATCCCAGGCCCCTGGGATCATGACCTGAGCCGAAGGCAGTCACTTAACCAACTGAGCCACCCAGGGGCCCCAACACTACATGTATTAAAGCTGACTTTCAAAATAATATCAGGAGGAAGTAAATATAATGCAGAGTGAATAGAAAGTCCCTCATCCTCTATGGTTACTACTGTTCTGGTTATTTCTAGATAAGCATAGGCTTTCCCTAACCAGGACTAAAATCAGCTGAATTGGTCATCAGTTCATTGCTGTTTACCACATCAGCATCCTCTCCCTATAGAATCTCCCCACTGGATACTCAGCCACAATGTCCCTGGAAAAATGGTAGAAGTGAATTCCCTTAACTAGTCCCCCAGCTCAGGATATAGTACAACCTAGGTTCTTAAGGAACAGGATATCTTAAAAGTCGGGAAAATAAAATACCACATTTCTTCTGGGGCAGGAGGGAAATAACACTTTCTTCCTGGCATATAGTAAACACATAGAAAATAGTTACTAAATGAAGGGAGGACAAGAGTTGTGGAAGGAAGTGGTGATGAAAGTTTGCAACCGGAATGGGAGTGAGCAAGAGTTCCACAGAAAATAGAGCCGGCAGGGACATGGCCTAGGAGCAAAACTGGGACGACGAGGAAGGGTTACTGGTACCTTTTTAAAAAACACCATACATGGAACTGTTTGATTAAAATTGGGTTGCAATTGGTTAAACACTGTTAACTTGGAAATTATCACAGTATTTCATTTCTCAGTGGATCCCAGTAACAGACATTTCCCTACACTTTTATAAGAAGACATAGGGAAAGGATTCACAGTGTCAACTTCTTATTGGCAATTTAGAGCCTTCAGCATAGACATTTTAGGCAGGACTATTTTCCTGATGCTCCTAAAAACCCTACTTACAGAGAGGCAGCTACTTGCTCAGGAGTCCAGTCTTGATGCATCTTTGGATTGCAGATTAGGCAAGAGTGTAATTATGGGTCTAGAAAGAATTGGATTCTGCAGCTAAATTATTTCCTTGTTTTTTGGCAGCACATACCGTACATATAGTCTTGTCATCATCTTAATAGAACATTGTTAGATACTCAAGTTAGAGTTCAAAGAGAAACTTCGTGCCGTTCATGTGAAGAGTGGACTATTATCCATTTGTCCTTGTCAAAAATTGTTTAAAACAAATCATCACAGTAAAGGAACTAAAAATTAAAATAATGAAATTCCAAAGCAATCAACACAGCAACATGCAGGTGTTTCTGCTAAATTGTGATGTGTCTGAAAAACTTCCCATTCTGCAAAATGTGCACTAAATGCCAGGACTCCTAGGGATAGAGAACAAGCCATTCAAAAGTCTTTGGAACTGTAGCAACAGCTGTAACAAAAATGGTTACTAGTACCTGGAAAGATAATGTGGCTCCCATGTGGCTGGAGGTTGGCACAGCTGGTACTTAAATTCTCAAATGATAAAGGCCATGTGCTGGCGACTCTGGCTAGAGCAGGACAGGTAGGAGTAAGGTAGACACCTGAGGCAGAGGCTTTCTGGGAAAGCATCCTGTGTACAAGGGCTGCTGTTGAATTTTCTTATGATAAAGCTGGAAGAAATCCTGCTGCCAGGGTGACATCAAAGCTGAGAATTTTTTTTTCTCTCCCACTGAAGGTTATACTATTTCTACTATTCCCTCCCCCTTTGCCTGGGAAAAATGGGTATAAATTATACTTATGTATTCTCCTATTTTCCAATAGCATATAAGCTATGCAGTACACAAGCATGTGTAGTAACTGAACAGACTGCTGATCAAAAAAGCTTTTCCTAATTAAAATGTAATTCATGCTTGTAAGGAATTGGGAAATATAGAAAAGTCTAAAAAATTAATCTGTTTATAAGAAATAATCACTGTTAAAAAAAACCTATGATCTATTTCTTTCTGATAATTTGTGCATACATACTTGTTATAAAATTAGGTTATAGTGTGCATATAATTGTAATCTTTGTATTTATATTATGCATATTTTCCACTTTGTTAAATAGATGTCAAAAATTTGAAACAGTTTATTTAATAAAAGCTCTGCTTTTGGATGATGTAGTTGTTTTGCATAGTGGTAATAATTTATATATAAGGGTGTTTATCTTTGATTAATTCCTTAGTTTAGGATTCGATTAGATTGGGCTAGATTGTTATGGAGGAAATTACTGGGTGTGTTAGTCCATTAGGGCCACTGGAACAAAATACCATAGACTGGGTGGCTTAAACAACAAACATTTATTTGTCACAGTTCTGGAGCCTGGGCAGTCCATGACCAAGGTGCTGGCAGACTTGGTGTCCGGGTGAGAGCCTGCTTCCTGGTTCACAGACAGCCATCTTCTCGCTGGGTCCTCACGGGGTGGAAAGGTGGAGGGATCTCTCTGGGGCCTCTTTTATAAGAGCGCTAATCTCCTTCAGAGGGTGGACCCCTCAGGACTTAATCATTTCTCAAAAGCCCAACCTATAAATACCATCACTCTTGGGAGTTAAGCTTTAACATATAAATTTTGGGGGGACATATGCATTCAGTCTATAGCACTGAGTCTATAGCTATAAATAGTTTTAAAAACCTGATAATAGTAAACTTCTGTTTTTTGTGGTTTCTTAAACATAAGGAACCTAATACAAGAAGACAAATAGCCAACAGTAAGGTTGGTATTGTGGCCCTTCTTTATTATGGGCACATTATTCACTAAAATGGGAGCATGTTAACAAGTCTCTGTTGCTCACAACTCTAAACACCCATGTGGTAAGTATCTCAGCCAGCACATCCTGGATTATTAACAGATCTGGTTCATGAGGTTCCTTTATCATGGATACAGGTTCAATCAGGCATCAACAAATCAGTGTCATGCTCCCCTCTTTAACGCAGTCTAATTCCTCCTTATATATTTGCTTCCCTTATTTTGTTCCTATGTGTCTCTCTGAGCTGTCTTGTCCTTGGCTCACAGTTCCCTCCAGTCATGACTCCACTTTAAAGTTAACACTAAACCTGTCCCTAGTTCAAGCCACTCCATGACATCAAACCTTCCTGTGGGATGTCTGAGGCAATTTGGGAGAAGGGAGAATGCATAGTGCCCTAGGATGCCTTTCTGGTTTGAGGTCCTTTGTGCATAAATATGTGCAGAATGGTTTAGAGTATGGGATTTGGAGGTAGAAATGTCTGGATCTGAGTCCCAGCTCTGCCTTCTTGGGCAAGGAGCTGCTTGGTCTCAGGAGTTGATGGTAGTCGGGTTATCTAGCGGCAGATCTGTTGTCTGAGCGGGTGATCTGTGGCTGCAGCTGGGTATACTCAAACCATGGATGCTGATCAGTTTTAAAGGATAAAATGTAGCTTAGCATCTTTTTGAGAGGAAATGTAAAGACAGAATTTGGTTGGGTCACATCTCAAATGAAGTGATAAATCAACTAGTGGTCAATCCACATGATTTAGTTCCTTTCATTGCAGTTTCAAGGTTAACTAAAATAATGGGAGTTCTGCAGAAACTGCTTCTTTTAAGCCTTTGGACATTTATGGGGAAAACCAAATGAGTCCAATAAAATAGAGGTAGATATATGCACTAAAGGTCTTTCCAGCAACTGTAATAACACAGGGCTACTTCCAGTTCTTTGCTTTTTGTTTTCTTTTTTAAGTTAAAACTAACTAAAAAACTGACTCTCTTCTCTTTTCAGCCAGCATATGTCCCAAGGAAGCTAATCCCAATAACCATCATCAAACAAGGTAATTTGTACGAGTCTGCTGTGGATGTATGTTTAGAACTATTTTTTTATTTTAATTCCAGTACAGTTAACAGTTTAGAATTATTTTTCATATACTTTTCACTGAGATAATTAAACAGCGCTTTTTTTCTCAATTTTTCTGATTGTTTTAAAGCAAAAGTGTGAAGAAATCAGTATGGTCTAGCATATGAGAAGTTAATAGATTATTTTGGCTCATGTACCAATAGGCCAAGTCTTGGCAAGTCACACTGGTTGTGTTTTACCAAAATAGAACTTTTTGTACAAAGCAACTACAATAAGTACTAAATTTTAAAAAGTCATATGAATATGTGTGGCTCTGTTCAGGATTAAGTTGGCATACATGAAGAAAAACATTAAGAGGATATTTGGATTAGTGAAATAAAAAACTATGATTTAGTGCTCCTTTTAGGTAAAGACATACAGTTTTCAAGAATTATAATGTCTTATTTCAGTATCCAGTTGTTTTTGTTTTGACTTTGTTTTTTAAGTTATTAAAATGACTCCATTATTTCCAGAAAGTTTCTTGATAGAAGAGATTAGACACTTAAAGTGATTATTCATTTTAAGAAAACATAGTGCCTCAAGTGTATTCTCAAAACAGTGTTGGTATTAGAATAATCCAGATTCTTTGCTTTGAGAAAATACATTTTCACTTTTTAAAATTTACTGTAGTAATTGCCTCACTTTGTGCTATTTCTTTAGCTTGGGAAGGCTGCAGGGAATGGAGATTAGGAAGGAAATTTTCAGCTCATTTGAATGGAATACTTTATCATAAAGTAATAACCTTTCGTTACTTAAAGGTGTTAAGTGTGAAGGTGAGATGTGCCTCCCAGTTCTTTCCTTGGCTATGTACCAGCCCAGAGAGTTACTTTTTATATTAATTAAAAAGTTATATTAGGGCTTCCTCAGCACAGATGTCTTCACATTACAGCTATTTGCTGCTTCCTATTTTCTTCCAACACACTGTTACCTTTTGTATTTCAACAGTGATTCAGAATGTTACTCACAGGGCTTCAACTAAATCCCCAGATAAGACTCCTGTTGGAGGAACAATATTAGGTGAGTGGATCTTGGTATCTATACTTACAGTAAGCACGTTAGGCTATTTTTTGATAATAGGGCCCTTAATGGAATTTTACACTGTTAGCAGGTCTATTAAATTGATGTTGGTTCATTTCCTTTCAGTACTGAGCATTCTGGCTTATGTCCATGCCAGGCTAGGAGCCAAGAGGTATTACCTCTAGGAGTGTGTGTTAGAGAAACAACTCTAGCCCACGTCTAGTAGGAAAGATAGCACCCATCCTACTTGCCCCATAGTGTTGTTGCAGTTAGGAGGGAGTCCTTGTTGTATTGAACTGCTCTTTTAAAAATTATTAATAATGTATTTTGTTCAATATATATGTTAAACAGCCATTTTACTATTTTTGATTCTATGGATTAAAAGCCAGAGGATTTTGTAGTTCAGTTCTGAACATTAAAAAAAAAAAATCTGTTTAAAGTATGATCACACTTTTTGCCAAAACTTTAGGTTTGAGTTAAAATTGATGAAGCCAAATAAGTGCAAAATTTCATAGTTTCTATTATCTGATGCTCTGAACTTTATTTTATGTCATGATGCATTTTCTTTCTCTTACCCTATTCTATTTCCTTGCAGTCCATCTTATTATTCCAGGTCTTAATGAAACCACTGTGAAACTTCCTACATCCATAATGCTTGAGATTTCGGATGCAATCAAGACACAGTTAGGTAAGCAGGAGTGTTCCATATTTGAACTTTGTGGTGACTGAGTACTAGCCCTGATAATCCTAGGATACCCGAGGAATCTAGCATATCAGCTGTTTGGGCATCTCAAAGTAAAAAGTAAGGGACAGGCATGTGCACTGTTAATGGGAATGAAAATGGTACACCTGCCGTGGCAAACAGTATGACCATTCCTCAAAAACTCAAGCATAGAACTACGACATGATCCAGCAATTCCACTTCTGTGTATATAACCAGAAGAACTGGAAAAAAGTTATCAAAGAGGTATTTGGACATCTGTGTCACACTAGCATTATTCACAGTAGCTAAAGCATGGAAGCAACTCATGTGTCCATCAACAAATGAATGGGTAGGCACCCCAATGTTGATAGCAGCATTATCTACAATAACCAAATTATGGAAACAGCCTAAGTGTCCATCAACTGATGAATGGATAAAGATGTGATAGCCATACACAATGAAATAATCCTTGGCTATAAAAAAGAATGAAATCTTGCCATTTGCAGCAACATGGATGGAGCTAAGTGAACTAAGAGAAAGATAGTATGATTTCACTCAGATGTGGAATTTAAGAAACAGCACACATGAGCAAAGGGGGAAAAGAGAGAGAGAGAGAGGCAAACCAAGAAACAGACTCTTAACTATAGAGAACAAACTAATGGTTACCAGAGGTGGGTGGGAGGGATGGGTTACATGGGTGATAGGGATTAAAGAGTACACTTGTTGTGACTAGCACCGTGTGATGTGTGGAGTGTTAAATCACTATATTGTACACCTGAGACTAATATTATACTGTATGTTAACCAGAATTTAAGTAAAAACTAAAATTTTTTAAACTCTGGTTTAAAAAAATTAAAAAGTAAAAGTGAAATGAAGGGGTAAGCAAAATGTGGCTATATGTGCAATAGGATATTATTCAGGCTTGAGAAGGAAGGAAATTCTGACACATGCTATAAGATGGATGAACCTTGAGGACATTAGCTGAGTGAAATAAGCCAGTCACAAAAAGACAAATACTGTATGATTCCACTTATGTGACGTACCTGAAGCAGTCAAATTTATACACAAAAAGTATAATGGTGGTTGCTAGGGACTGGAGGGAGGAGGGAAATGGGGAGTTAGGGTTTAATGATATAATTTCACTTTTATAAGATGAGAGTTTTGGAGATGGATGGTGGCGATGGTTGCACAACATTATGAATGTATTTAATATTACTGAAATGTATACTTAAAAAGGTTAATTAAGATCATACATTTTATGTTATGTATATTTTACCATGATAAAAAAAATTGGAAAAAAAGCAGTGAGGGCCAGAGAGTTTGGAGAGTTGGAAGTATTTATATAAATTACATTCTATAGGTAAATAGTTATTATATATTATATAAAATATATTTATATTTATTTTAAAAAGTGAACATTTATCAAATTATCCAAGATACATACATTTATTTAGGTAAAATTTTCAAATAGAGTGATTGTTAGAAAATTGTTATACTGTCGAGGGGCCATGAGATATTTTCAGTGAGAGCGGATGTACAGGTCAGATGTGTTAGAATTATTATTTACTTGAGATTGATACTGCCTCCTACTTGTAGAAAGAACTTGATATAATTTCAGTGTTTTTTCTTTTTTTTTTTTTAAAGATTTTATTTATTTATTTAATTGAGAGAGAGAGAGAGACAGCGAGAGAGGGAACACAAGCAGGGGGAGGGTCAGAGGGAGAAGCAGGCTTCCCGCAGAGCAGGGAGCCCGATGCGGGGCTCGATCCCAGGACTCTGGGATCATGACCTGAGCTGAAGGCAGTCACTTAACCAACTGAGCCACCCAGGCGCCCCTAATTTCAGTGTTTTAAAAACATAACAATTTATGGGGAGACAATCCCAACAAAACCCTTTAAAAGGAGCCCAGGGAAAAATTGCAGTGCTCACTGGGATAAATTAGTTGCCGCATTTGAGTATCAAATTAGTCAGGACCCTCTGTATAGCACAGCATCTCCAGCTTGATGGAGCATGAGAAGCCTGGTGGGCTTGTGAGCGCAGACTGCTGGATCCACCCGCAGAGTTCCTGATTCAGTAGATGAGGTGAGGGACGTGAGAATTTGCCTTTTTAACTAGCACCCAGGAGATACTGAAGCTACTTGCCTGGGCACCCTACTTTGAGAACCACCCCTCCACAGTCTCCGGAGATAGTCTTGAGCTATTGATAAATATGGAAGGAGATGGCATGATGTGGTAGAAATTGAACAAAACTAAAAAATGCAGAATGTTTTCTCCGAATTGGGCACTAGCAAAGAACTTTCACACTTACATAAATGAATGTTCACCTTGTGTGGGTGCAGAAATGGACCCCTGGGCCCCTGTGTGGCAACATTCAGTCAACATGTAATTACCAAGTGTTACTCTCTGGCATAACTGCAAGTCGCTGGTACTGTACGGGTGAGTTACACAGGCACAGGACCTGCCCATACCAGGACATCAGACTTAATTTCTCCTACCTGTTTGCTTGTTTGATGGTTACCAGATGTGGGTGGGGGGGGATGGGTTACATGGGTGATAGGGATTAAGGAGTACACTTGTTGTGACTAGCTCCTTGGCAATCAGATTGGAGCAGTTTCAAAATGTGAACTCTTAAGTTCTCTTTAGCTGTTAATTTGAGAATTTACTGGAAGAAGGAGGAACAAAACCTTAAGCAAGTAGAAGAGCACTTAATGGATAGACTTAACAGTCCCACCAATTGTAGAAAAATTCTCAGAACTTACACATCATTTTATTAAGATGGGCAAATATTTGCCAGTCTTTGTGATTTTGTGCATCCTTCCATTTTTATTATGAAATATTCATACCTCTTAGTTCCAGAGTGAGTTCCTCCGAGAATGTAGACAAGTGACTGTAGACATCATTTCTTTAATTTGTACATCAGACTCGATCACCTCTTTTTTAGCTATAAAACTGTGACTAAACCCTGCAACATCTAAATGCTGTGCTAAAATCCAGGAACCTGCCAAATTATCTTTCCTCACCGAACCTGTGTTTGGAATCCAGTGCTCCCTTTTCTTGTGCTCACCTCTTCTCTGCCCAGAGCCTATGTGCCTCACCCTGCCCTTGGGTAAACCTTGTTTGGAAGGAGGGAAATAAAAGGAACTGGCCATTCTCTTACTGATGTGATCCCTAATCCATCCAGCGAAACTACAAAATACAGAATTTGTGAAGGAGGTTGAAAATGAGCAGTTTTCCCCAGACCACTACTGTCAGTTTTGAACTGAAGCATGTTTTGTTCTTTAGTCTTGAGTGATATTTCCTAAACTTTTTGGTTTTTGCAAAGTTCTCCACACTATCTTAATACCCATTCAATCTTTGTTTTCTTTAGAGAATAAAACAGTGCATTTTTTTTTTTAAGATTTTATTTATTTATTTGACAGAGACAGAGACAGCGAGAACAGGAACATGAGCAGGGGGAGTGGGAGAGGGAGAAGCAGGCTTCCCGCTGAGCAGGGAGCCGGATGTGGGACTCGATCCCAGGACCCTGGGATCATGACCTGAGCTGAAGGCAGGCGCTTAATGACTGAGCCACCCAGGCGCCCCCAGTGCATTTGTTTTGTTTTTGCTTTTATCTTTCTGATATGATTCACTAAAAGCTTTCAGGATTGAGTGTGATTTCAATAAAGAAAAATTGTATGCAAACAGTAAGTATCTTTTTTGACTTGTTTTTTTGTGGAAACACTATCTTAAATTCAACACGTGACAAATTTCTTATGCATTGAAGAGCTTGATAGCTAGTGTCTTTGAAAATGCCCAGCAAATCCATCAAATATACCACCTTGGCAGACTGTATTTAAAAAATTACATTTTAAGTTTACTGTTTTTAATGGAGATACTGCTTTTTTTTTTTTTTTAAAGATTTTATTTATTTATTTGACAGAGAGAGAGAGACAGCAAGAGAAGGAATACAAGTGGGGGGGGGGTTGTAGAGGGAGAAGCAGGCTCCCCGCAGAGCAGGGAGCCCAATGCCGGGCTCGATCCCAGGACCCTGGGACCATGACCTGAGCCGAGGGCAGCCGCTTAACAACTGAGCCACCCAGGGGCCCCGAGATACTGCTTTAATAGTTCTTTATACCAGCAAGGGAGAAATAAACTTTCCTGAAGTTAACACCGCAATTCAGAAAAGTACTATTTTTTTGAGGGGGCGAATCCTAAAAATAATATCCTCATTCCAGTGGGGCCCATCATGGGACATCAAGAAATTAATAGCTTTTGTTCTAAGAACACATGATGTGAATAATGAAAGAAATAAACAAGAAAGCTAGTATTACACCCCTCCCTGGGGCATACAAAGGGTTGGCCAAAGCCAAGACTTAGCCTGCCAAAAATGAAAGGAAACAACTGTGTTGAAAAAAGGTACAGAAGAATCCAAGAGGAAAGGAAATTTCCTGGGTTTTAGGCCATATTCTGGTGACATTTTACTCTGCTCTAGCCAAGACTGCAGTTGTCCATCGATAGTGTAGGTGAGTGCTCGTGGGTTGGTAAGAGACATAAAGGTGCTCTCATGCAAATTATCTTCCCCGTCTACCGTTTTTTCTGACATCTGAAATGCCATTTTTAGAAATACAGTATGCCTTTGTAAGGAATTAGTGATGTGTGAAGAATACAAATGTCTCTTGGGAAGGTGGTTTACCGTTCCCCCCCCCTCATTAACAGCCTAATTTTAGGTTAATGTGATTGCCAGCTGAGGGCATGTTTTTAATATAAGGAGCTAAAGCAAAGTAATTCAGAGCATTGTTTGAAAGTATAGGATCTGTATGTTAAAATAAATAAATAGTCCTAGTCAGCAGAGGAAACACTGAGAATGTAGGCTATTACACAGGAAGGAGAGGATTAGCAAGGGTGTCTTGAGGGAGAAGAGGACCCTGAAAAAGAAAAGAGCACTAAAGAAAAACTTTATAATCTCACACTTAAAAAAAAAAAAAAAGCTTCCCATGGTACACCTTGAAAATAAGAAGGCCAGAGTTCAAAAAAATCTGTAATCTACATGTTTATTTTCCTATGCTAACAATCACAGTGGTTCTAAACAAAAGCTGTGACTGCAACAGAAAAATGTTGATTAAATTTAAGAATGGAAGTTACCATAAATTTCTACTGGACTGCTGTGTAGTTATTTCAGAGAGTCCCTTCTCTTTATGCCCTGCTAAATTAATTTGAACACTGGTATTTAACATTTCTGTTGTGTAAAAATGCTGTGCAACATCATGTACACATGAATCCAAAACACGCACTTGACCGTTAGATATGGCAAGCACAGTAGCACTTCTGACACCTGTGTCTAGCATCTTAAAACACTCTTGAAAATAATTAGCTCTATGGAAGAATCTATTGTAGACTTCCATAAAGAGAAAACTGATTTGCTTCTATTATCATTGTGAAAGGGATGACTTTATAGTTGTCTTTACATCCTTCAGAAGTAAATAAATATTTTGTAGCCCATGTTAACTGATAAGAAAATGGTCTTTACGACAGTGATGTGAACTACAGAAGGAAGTTAAAAGACGTTCATCCTTTAAGAACTTTGAGAGAATTGATTAGATATTGATCTAATCTCAGCAGAGGGCAGCTTTGTCCCCTGGGGGATATGTGGCAGTATCTAGAGACATTTTTGGTTGTCACAGTCGTGGAAGTGCTAATGGAATCCTGTGGCTAAAGACCAGAAATCCTGCTAAATGTTCTGTAGTACACAGGAAAGTCCCCCGACCTCAGACCTAACAAAAAAAAAAATTATCCAGCCCAAAATGTCTCTAGTGCCAAAGTTGAGAAACCCAAGAAGTCCCGTATAGTTCTAGGACTCTAAAAATATCCCATCTGATTATAATTATTTCAAGTTGACATGATCAGGGTATCTTAAAGATGAATGAATTCTTTCATGCCCCTAGACTTTCAAAATATTACAGGTGGCTAACTAGCTGAACCAAGTTCATCCTGAGTGCATTTTTGAAATGGGAAATACCTTAATCATTGGGGATTTCCGGTATAGGAATGTACTTTCTTTGAAAAGAATACCTAAATTTTAGAAGAAAGTTTCCTAAGTAGTTTTCTGAAGAGGTTAAAAAATATGGAAAAAAATCGATTTCATTCACTATGCCGAATTCACACAGAGACCAAAAGAAAAGATCAGTGTTAATGTGTGGCTCAAATGAATAGCTATTGCTATTTTTTGGCCACAAATGTTTTTAAGTATCTTAGTTTCCTATGTGAGTTATTTGTTTTTCTAAAGGTTCACTGTCATAACCTATTGGGTTGTTTTTTTTTTTTTACTGTGTATAATAATGGAAAATCTCTATGCATTGTTGTTATTTTTAATTAGGAGCACTTGAATACAAAATTCTAGGGAATATTTGCAATACAAACTGTGCTTTCCAGAAACTCTTATTTATGAGTGAGAATGATTTGAGAGTTATCCAAGTATTGAGTTGTGACTTTTTTCTTCATTCCAATGCCAATTTAAATCTTAACGAATTACCTAGGGTTCATGAGATGGAATTCTGAAGAATCCCTGGTGGAAATGCACAATAAATTTGTTGACTGCCTGGTGGGAAGAATAAAGAGCAAAATAGATTTCTTGAAATAATCTGTTACTTGATGATGTTTGAATGAATTATATTTGGGCACTGTGTTATGAAGAAGTAAGGTGAATTGTTTGTTCTCTGACTTTTTAGCTAAGAATGAAACGTTGGCATTACCTGCTGAATCTAAAACACCAGAGGTAGACAAAATCCCAGCACAGCCCGTAACAGGTAATGAGATCCATATGTCATTAACTTCGAGAGAATAAATATTTTTTGAAATGGTAAATGATTGATGAGTTTGTACTTGTTTTCAGTGAAGGGCCACTAGGAGATTAATTTTCATCATAAGCACAAACAATAAGACATTGTAGATCCTTAATTTTACATTCGGAAAAACAGCTAATGCAGAAGAACTATGGACTCATATGACCTGATGTGTAATATGGAAAAGCTGCATTTTTCACGCTAAGTGAAAGTTGTCACCTCAACATTCTGAGATATTTTTATACTAAAATATAATACTATGGTTTATGTGCTTTCCTTTTATATGAAGATATGAGCTCATTTTTCATTTCTTTCACAAGTGGTCATTTTAGCAAAATGCCAATATTCCCTCCCAAATCCACAGCTTGATAACTATGAAAGTCCCCTGGAATCATTTAGAACAATTAGAATTAATTGTTCTATGGAAGATTAATAATCCTAGTACAAAGAAATATATAATAGTTTGTTGAAAATCCTTTAAAGAATAGATGCGGGATACATTTTCCCCATAGTTTATTAGCCTTTACTAACAAACATTCAGGATTTCTTGTCTGAATGAACTGCCTAAGTCCTGCCTACCAGGGACATATTACTCTATGAACCACAGAGTTTTTGCCAGAGCAGTACCACCTCATCCAGAACCCAGTAAAACAAACATCTGGCAAGAATTTCCCCAAATCTTCATTTAGCAAAATATCTCCAATCTAAAGTGAATTTTGTAATCCACAAAATTTCCACAAATTGAAATATCAGTGATATTTACCTTACACTAAACTCTTGGATTCATAGCCAGTCCAGAAGAGCTAAAGATTGGCAGGAAAATAAAATAAGTTGATTTCAAGAAACCTATTCAAGTAGGAATATTTCTGACAGAGTAAGACATATAGGCTCCTACCTACATGGGAGATGGACCTTCCATCCCCCACCTTCATGGGTGTTGGGACAAAGGAACAAACTAAGATACTGGAATACTCTATTTAAATAAAATTCCTAGGTAATTTTTCTAATTTCAGTATAATTTGTCAATACCAAGAAAAGCATAGGCATGATCCAGTAGATTCCAAGTTATTTTCTGCCCCAAAAATCCTACCCATTTTTCCCGTTTATACTTTCCTCTCTTGGCACAACATCTGACGGGAGAGTCTACAGATCTCTTCGTTCTCTGCCAAAGCTTCTTCAGAATTTTCCTATACAGAAACACTTAGGCAAACACCATGCCTTATTATTCAGTGTTGTGTTTGTGTCTCACGGCTGAGCATTTGAGTCCTTACCATAATTACAATCCAGTTCCAAGCTTTGTATGTTGACTGCAGTTTGGAAGAGAGAAATCTTTTATGTAAATCATTCTAAATAAACCTTTTTGCCTTGGGTCATTATTTTAGCTGCCCATTTATTAGTTCATTTAATATTTGTCATATGCTTGCTTACTATACCTCAGACATTGTGCTGAGCCCTGGAGATAATAAGGAAGAAAAAGGCAGGCAAGGAAAAAATTATGATTAATAAGTGTTTTCTCACCAAGGTCAGCTCACTGTGCTTTTTGGAACACATGGGAAGTGGACCAAGCTCATCGAGGAAGGGTTGGAGGAAGTGTCGGCTCAGGCATCTGGGGCAAGCCAGGGAGTCCTGAATTAACTTGAAAAGAATTGGTCAATTTAAGCGTCAGTTCCTAATTCTAAAGGGCAACAGAAACACCTTATGATCTTTGGTTGCTTCATTATTTGTACCTGAATTTGTAAAGTTGTCTTTTTTTACCTTCCAGTGACTGCTGAGTCAGTGCCAAGGACCACAAAACCCACTGTGTCTAGCGCATTAGAATTTTCAGAAAAAACACTGGGTAATTCTTTTTTTTTTTCTTAAATAACTCCCAATGCTCATAGAAACAAAAAGTAACCCCAATGCCTTAGTTCCCCCCTACCTTTTATTTCCCCCCTTTACTAGCAGTCGTTAACTTTCCTATTTCTTGGACCAATTCCATTACAGAGTTAACAACAGGCCTTGATCCTGGTGACTGATATTCTAGGCAGCTCGGGATGCTAGATGCTGACTACGCACAGCTTTTACTAGTCTCTTGGGTTGTATAGAAAAAACTCAGAATGCCAGCCTTTTAACCCACAAATCTTGGAGGGGTGGGGGAAACCTGAAAGTCTGGACTGTGTTTGTGCTTTCTGTTTATTGCAGTAGGCTTCCCAAGTCTTGTGTGCACTAAACTTGAGGAGAATACCCCAAAGTGTCCTGCTTTTTAATAAGAATTTCATGTCATGCAAGTTAACTGCTTCTTGGCCCAAAAGAGTCTTGCTTTGTTGTCTTCTGTTGAAAAAAAAAAAAAAAAAGTAGCATGCATTTTGTTGTGTACTCGTGATGTTGATCCTCCATGCCACATCACGCACTTTGAAACTATACCTTCACATTTTAACAGCTATGTGAAGCTTTTCTGGGGGGACCCAGCTACTTCCATGAAGGCATCAGCTGCCCTGTGCACACTATGTTATGAGCATGCTTCCCATGATTAAGTGTGAGCCACAATGTCAAATCCTGCCTCGGGGAGTTGCTGACTGAATTCTTCTTTATTTTAGTTCTCAGCGAAAGGACCCCAGAAACCCTGCAAACTATTCTAATACCTAGGTTTGAATTGCCACTGAGCACTCTAGGTAAAAATTATTAAACATTACAGCGTGTTATTACCTTGGAAATTTTATGCATGCTTTAAAGAAATCCTTAGGTTAATTCATTCAAATTTATCTCCTCATAGGAAAGAAGGGACACATGGTTTATAGAACAATAAGCTCCCCAACACTAAGGCCTTAACTGTTATTAAATATTTTATAATTTAGAATCCTAAAGAGTCTTTAAGACAAATCTTTTGGGGGTTTTTCTTTTTGGTGATTGTGTTTTGATATTATATTTGATTCTTTTTATTCAAAATCATTGTGTCACTGAATAAACTATTTTCTATACTTTTCCTAAATATCATTTTACTCAGTTGTTTCTCCAGATGGAGAAGATATGTTTATGTTATTTTGGCAGACTGTTTATTAGAATTTGAGTGCAATATCAAAAATTGTTGGAGTGGGAGCTTAAGTATAATGCTGTGTAATTACTGAAATTCTATTTTCCATTAGATGGACATTTTTTAGTTCAGATGTGTTTGGTGCTTGATTTAAGTTCAAAGGAAATATATGTAAGGGCACACATACACATGACTAAAGAAATTAGGAAAGTAGTAAGGGTGAAAAGAACAACCCAAATTCTTCAAATTTAGTAGCTTGGTTATAAAAAATAGAAAAAGTTTATTATAGTATCCAGCATCAAAACCACAAGAGTAAGAAATACTACTAACAATACCTTACTTGACATAAGTAATTTGCCTTTTTGTGTTTTTTTGTTTTTGCAAGCTTGAAATTTTGAAAAATCTTTTCCGTTACTTGTACCTCAGGTTATAACATTTGTTATGTGTTTCATTGCAGCTCCAAAAAGGCTTCCAGAATTTCCTCAGGCAAACACACCCTTTCCCTTTGAGAAGCCTGAGGGCACTCTGGGTAATAGTAACACCTTAAAGCTGGCGTTAAGATAGGGGTGGTGATGGCTTAATTCTGTAGGAAATGCTTACTGGATCCTCTCTTAGCAAACCTCAATGAACTGATGAATTCCATTAACTTCAGCCAAACAAGGGGTTGATTTAAAAGCAACAGAAAAAATCTATTTGATTTTTATACTTATGTAACAATCATAAGTATGTTAATTTTATACAGGTTTGGGGTTTATCCTGAAAAATGTTGAAAGTATGACACTGAACTCTGGTTTCTCTTTTTTTAAAAGAAATCAGACCTGAGCTGAAACCAAGAGTTGGGCACTTAACCGACTTCACCACCCAGGCACCCCCAAAATCTGGTCTCTTTCTGATCACTAATCAAATGCTCTCTGGATAGATGCATATTGATTTCTTGATATAAAATGACTTTGGATTGGATTAGCATGTGCTTTTTTATTGCAAGCTTCTGGTAGCCATTTAACCATACCAGCAACCTATTTCTGTCCTTTTCTCCAAAAAAACAAAACAAAGCAAAAAAAAAAAACAAAAACAAAAACCTTCAATGAATTCCATTTCTTTTTGCTGTAGCTTCGAGTGAAAAGCCATGGATTGTGCCTACAAGTAAAACATCTGAAGATTCCAAACTTCTCCCACCTCAAACTGGTAATTTCATTCTTTTTTAAAAATAGATTGGACCAACAGTACTGAATAACTTATTTTTATTTTTATAGTTTCCCTAGTTGATTATCAAAATAATTGTAGTAAATGGTTAAGCTATAATCCATTCTTGATACTTAGGGGAATATCATGTTTTTCTCAATGCAAAAGCAAAATGGTTTTGTATTTGTTTCAAAAATCTGTGTTTTAATGTCTGGATAGATCATTGGAAGTGTGGCTAGAAGATAAACTGTGAATTGGTTCATGGATTTTCTAGAGACCTCTTTTATGACATTGAGAACAGCAACAAAAATAACATACCATGGGTCTGACTTAGCGGTATCAGCTTAATGTCTCCCTTGTAGATAGATATTTGCTTTTTCTCCAACAAAAATATTCAGTGAACATTTGAGAGCTCACTATGTGCAAGTTATTGCTAAATCCTAAAATCTCTAAGCATATTGTGATATGGAGGAAAGACCACAGGTCCTGGTGTTAATAATGGACCTTGATTCTAGTTCTGGCTTTCCCATTAACAATATATTTGAGCTCTTTTTCTCTACTGTCCTGGGTCTTAGTTTGTTCTTTTGTAAACTGTGGCGATTGGCTTTTTTTCTCCTGAGAATTCCATGTTCCACCACTAAAACTGTTGAGGGAGACAACTTCCCCTTAAACCTATTTCCTTACTTAAAAAGCCCTCTTTTATACGTCTTTGCGGTCTAGCAGACAACTAAAAAGAATGATCAGCATGTGAGAATTATAAGAAAACCTCAGAAACCACTTCGGGTGATTACTTTTATGACTTTTGTTTTACTTGTTTGCATTTTAATTTTTGGGAACCTTCTAGTTGTGATGTTTTGAATAAAAATTACGTAGTATGTAATGTGGTCGGAAGTTCATGTAATGAAGTTAAGAACACTGACATTTGGTGGTATTCCCCAGAACGGATTCCAACAGAGGACTGGTTTGAGAAAGGGTGAGAATGTGCCTTCAGATTTTAGTCAAATTATTCTTTCTCTGTTACATGTGATGGGCTCAGGTCTCAGCAAGAGATAAAAGGATGGCACCCCATGAAGTGAGCATGTCTATTAGAGTCTCTCCTCTCAAGTGGGAAAACACTTGAAAGTTGGCTGTGGTTGTCAACCAATCCAGAGAAGTCTCAAATTGGGTCTTTCTAAGGCTCCATCACCCTAGTCACTGACCCTGAAACCCAAATGCAATTACTTAATGTGGATGCAGAAATATCTTCAGCATTCCAGGTCATCTGAATGTAAAATCTGGGTTCGGGGTAGGGTTTCATACTGAGCCATCCCATAGGCACAGCTGTGCCGTGATTACAGTGCAACAACTCGTCTGTGGACCTGTGTGATGGCTTACCTGCTGCACTGTGGCGTGCCTGGCCTGACTCCCATATCATTCGTGAGGGTTACAGCTCTCAAACCAAACTAAACTAGATGAACTCTTAGGTCCTTTTCATCTCTTAGCTTTTGGGTTATTAACCTTGGGGGCATAGGGTCAGCTAGGTTTCCCCTGAGCAGCCTATAGTTTTTTGATGTCTATGATTATTCAAGAGTGAACTGACCAAAACCTCAAGGAAACCATTTATGAAATGTTAATGGCTGAGTTGAACCAAGCTTTGGGGAGTGAGAATATGTTGGGAAGTGAGGACTGTAGCGTTACAAAGAGACAAAGATGGAGGAGATTAAAGATCTTCATAAAGGGAAGGTTCCTTTTGCCTCCAATTCCAGAAAAGGAGTATTCTTGTCTTGCTCTGACGGAGTATGAATAGTGGCTCGTACAGCAGGAAGCACTTGCATTATTCAGTTACCTCACTACTGCCAGAGCAAACTTAGGCTTCCAGAGAACTTGCAACTATTGACTGCCAACCCCCTCAGGATGAAGCGTTGGGGCTTGTCATGGGCTGTAACAGTTCAGGAGGTAATAATTTCAGGCATGAGCATTGGCCCTAGAAACTTCCTAGCCTTCCTTCACAACATTTAAATTTTATACTTCTGCTACTAAGTATGATCCCTTAGACCAGAAGCATTGGTATCCCTGGGGAACTTGTTAAAAAGGCAGAATCTTGGGCTCTACTCCAAATCTATTGAATCAGGATCTGCTTTTTAAACAAGATCTCCAGGTAATTGCTATGAACAGTAAAGTTTGAGAAGCACTACTTTAGTCTACAATAGTTCACATGGTGTAGGTAAGAATCATCAAATGTGGTCAATTATAGGATGAGAGGCCTCAAGTCAATATAAGATTAGTTTCTCAAAGTGGGTGATTAAGTATCTCTTGTTTCTACTAATACACACAATGCTTCTATCTCTTACATAAGTATTCTGTGGCCTCTTCTTACTTGTTAAATTTCAAATTAAAACTTATCCTATATACTGTGGTTTGATAAATTGATATATTCATGCCATCCTTTCATTCATTTCAGCCTTTCCTGTTTCTTGTGATTGATTTTGTGTGAATTTATACATGGACTAAGTTTCTATTTCCTAGTTTCAGTGTATATGATTATTTTACTTTCCACTTACCATGGTTTCCTAATGCAACTGTTTTTAGAAATTAAGAAGAGAAAGAGGTACAGATAGTCTGGAATGCTGGTCCATAAAACTATTGGTCCCATTTTTAGTTGTTGTATCCTTTGAAGAAATGATATATTTTAGCTGGTATGAATGAACAAAATGAACACATTTTGTTTTCTCTGTTGGGATACAGTGTATCTAGACTTATTATATCAATTCCCTTCAGCCAAAGACCGCTAGAACCACACCTGTTTTTGAACAAAGTTAGTATTTACTCATTGCAACAAGAGAGAATGCAGAGCATGAGAAACTGTGGGATCTCTTGGTAAGAGGGTGCTGGAGAGGACTTATTGTGGGACGTGGCCTTGTTTTAGGTGATTCTGGGGAGCGTCCAAGGAAGTGATGCTTTGCTCTGGAATGGCTGCTCCCAGAAAGTAGGAGTAATTCTATAACTGAATATCATAATTCTTAACTAGAAGTGAAGAAGAACAGAGTGAAGCAAAGTTGTGATTGGTAAATTCATATTAGCCAGAAGGTGGGGACAGTAATTTTTGTGTTCATGCATTTGTGTTCCACACAATTACAGAATGGTATTGTTTTTGTCTTGATCCATCTTGGTCACTAAGTGGTCTTGTCTGAGGTTGGTGTTCTTTCAGATTGTTAATGCTCAGCAGGAGAACACCACAACCTAGCTGTGGATGCCAGGCCAGCTCCTGGATGCCCGGGACTGCTTTTCTCTTTGTCAACCATTAAATGCGACTTATCAACACCTCTTGTAAAACTCATTTTGCTTTGGCACTGCTGGATTTGTGTTCTCCACATTTACTTCATATTTTGTAGCAAATCATCAGAATTCATGCTCTCAAAAAGATGTCTGTGTTACTTTTGGTTATACAAAGCTATATGGAAATTCTAACTTGCATGCTGATTATTGAAATCCCTAGGTCATCTCAACAGTTGATGAAAGAGTGGGACAGGGTATTTGGAATTTGGAATATCCCAGAAAATCTGAGAAGTGTAGCCATCAAAAATACTCTTCCCCACTTTTAGCCTACTTGCCCTAATCTTTCATTAGTGCTGCATTTTGTGATCTCATTATTTGATATTATATTTTGTATTAAGCCTTCTCTAAAGTATGTTTAAGTAGGATTGATTGATTTTTTTATTCCCTTAGCAAATCAAATTTTTCTTAAAGTTTAGGAAGGAGATCATAAAAATCTGCTCTATAAATATATACCAGAATATATACTACTTTAAAGATTTTTTTAAAAGATTTTGTTTATTTGAGAGAGAGAGAGAGATTGAGCATGAGTGGGGGGAGGAGCAGAAGAAGAGGTTATAAGCAGATTCCGTGCTGAGCGTGGATCCCACAACCCTGAGATCACGACCTGAGCCAAAACGAAGAGTCGGACACTTAACCAACAGAGCCACCCAAGTGCCCCTGGAATATATATATATACTTCTTCTTTTTTTAATTT